TATAATATATATATATATTTTTTTTTTTTTTCATATGTATTACATTTTGTTAAAAAAATTTCCTTACATTTCGATTTTTTTTAATCAGTAAACAAAAAATATATTAAATAGAAGTATACAACATGCTGCTAAATCCAAACACATATAATACATATTTATATATAGCTTTTAAGTGGTACATTGGATTTATTAACTGTTCATAAAAAGAAAATGAAAATCCTTTCATCACCTTAGCACTTAGTCACGATCAAGATCTGAATTCTATTAAGTGTAGCACATTCACAATATCCACAAACTCCTTTTTGAAGACACACATATTTCGGTTAAAAAATATTCCCAACATGAGTCATGTTTTAGTTACAAAAATTCACCACATTTTATTATACTAGTAAAGCTGGAAAATTTTATTATAATTTAAAATTTAATTACATATTTTATTTCATTAATTTTTTGCTACAATGATAGTTTTTTTTTTTGTTGAAAATAACACAAGTGTGCTATTGTTTATTGAGAGGTGGGGACCAAACCTGACCCACAAAAAGACAATACAAATATAAGGGAAAGTAAAAAAAAATAAAAGAAACAAAAATATAACCTAGAAACAATGCCAAAAAGGCACCCAACACACTACAACATTTGTTATCTATGGCAACAATAAAAAAATGTTGTTGAAAACCAAAAAATCGTTCCTAAAAGTTTAGGAAACGGTTTGGCAACGGTTTTTCAAGCGTGGATTTATCAACTGTTGCCTATTTCAATATGCAACGGTTTTTTAGCCTGTGCCCACGATGTCAAAAAACCGTTACCTAAACTTTCAAGAACGATTTTCATGATCTTCAATGGCAACGATTTTTTTTTTAATTTAAGGCAACACTATTAATTTTTAAAGAACGGTTTTAGAAATGTAGTCTATTTTTATAGGTAACACTTTTATAACCGTTGTTAGTGACATCAGGATTCGTAGATAACTTATCCACGGAAATTTCCGTAGATAACATCCACGAAAATTTCTGTAGATAAGTTATCTACGGAAATTTCCGTAGATAACTTATCTACGGAAATTTCCGTAGGTAACTTATCTACGGAAATTTCTGTAGGTAACTTATCTACGGAAATTTCCGTAGATAAGTTACCTACGGAAATTTCCATAGAAAAAAGCATCCGTAGATAAACGCATCCGTAGATAAATTTTATATCCGTAAAAATCCGTAGATAACATTATCTACGGAAAATTTTCCGTAGATAACGTTATCTACGACCTTATTATCTACGGATTTTTTCCGTAGATAATTATCAGTTATCTACGGATTTTCATCATTATCTACAGATTTTTTCCGTAGATAATGTTGATTTTTCTTGTAGTGAAACCCAAAAGTTATGGGAACGTTAACTCAATCGGCCTCAATTTAGGTAGGATGATATATAAGAATATTTGGAAGAGACATGCAACTAACTTGATCGTCGGAGTCCCTTTTGCAGGTACATCCAAGGCTTGGAGAGATCAGAATAGGTCTATAAAATCTAAGAAATTTACCCTAAAATATACCCTACCAAATTCTGCGTTGAGTTGGAAATATCACCTACCAGGCAGTCTTATCACCTTTCATGAGATGTTCCATGAGTCACAATTTAGACAATATATCTTAGACTTGACACATGTCATAGAATCTAATCATATGTCAATAAAGGAAACCTAACATTTGAACCAAATCTTGTTAAGATTGACAATAAAAGGATTAGGCATCTAAGAATGGAAAGAAATATATATCACTAGTTAAGGTTATCTAGAATGACACAAGAGAAAACAACATTTGAAAATTCAAGGAGAAAATGAAAGTGGAGTACCCTCACTTATTTATATAGAATGTGGTAGAAATTTCGAGGACGAAATTTATTTAGTGAGAAAGAATTGTAACATCCTAAATTTTATAACTATTTATCTATATATAAGTTATCTACGGAAATTTTCGTAGATAACTTATCCACGGAAATTTCCGTAGATAACATCCACGAAAATTTCTGTAGATAAGTTATCTACGGAAATTTCCGTAGATAACTTATCTACGGAAATTTCCGTAGGTAACTTATCTACGGAAATTTCTGTAGGTAACTTATCTACGGAAATTTCCGTAGATAAGTTACCTACGGAAATTTCCATAGAAAAAAGCATCCGTAGATAAACGCATCCGTAGATAAATTTTATATCCGTAAAAATCCGTAGATAACATTATCTACGGAAAATTTTCCGTAGATAACGTTATCTACGACCTTATTATCTACGGATTTTTTCCGTAGATAATTATCAGTTATCTACGGATTTTCATCATTATCTACAGATTTTTTCCGTAGATAATGTTGATTTTTCTTGTAGTGAAACCCAAAAGTTATGGGAACGTTAACTCAATCGGCCTCAATTTAGGTAGGATGATATATAAGAATATTTGGAAGAGACATGCAACTAACTTGATCGTCGGAGTCCCTTTTGCAGGTACATCCAAGGCTTGGAGAGATCAGAAATCACCCCTGAAATGACGAAAAGATGAGACGAACTCACAGGAAACTAAATATTATAAAATCCGTCACAAAACAAATTAGTGATGAAATTGATTTCGTCACAAAAATTGGCGCCACAAAATATTTAGTGACGGACAATTTCAGTCTGTCAAAATTAGTAAGGGAATTAAGGCAACGCAAATTCCGTCACTAATTTCTAATATTAAATGTTCATAAATTAATAAAATTCCGTCACAAATTGTGACGAAATTAGTGAGGGATATTTATCCGTCACAAATTTGTGATAGAATTTGTGCCTCTTATTAACGCCACAAGTTGAGAGGGATTTTGGCCTCTCAAGAGATATCTATTTCACGACATTTCACTTTTTATGTGTTTTATCCTTACTTGCACAATTTCTGGGAAACTTCCCAGAAGGTCACCCACCCCTATATTACTCGAGACAAGTGGTGCTTCCATTCTCGTTCATTCTCTCCTTTACTTTGGTCTCATTTGTTTGTTCTTGATCTCCATTAAGGTCCACTTTTACATAGGCTAATCACTTCATTTGCCTATGTTTAATTTCTTGGACTCTTGTTCTTATTCAAAAGTAACAATTACGACTTTAGTTCAACCTTTGTATTCTCTTTCATTTTCATGCTTCGGTACTCCACATTATATACTATAAATTCATCTTTATGTTTAATTTGCATTTTTTCACCAAGTAATGTTTAATTTAGCTTTTAGAATTAATATTTATAGTGTTTTAACATTATCAAATTAGCCACTTTAATAGGTAAATCAAATCATAGAAACATTAACCTTCTACATTTATAATATAGCTGACTGCATAATTAGTATTTTTTTTAAAGACAATATGGACTTAGTTAATGTTTCTGCACAGTTATGCAGAACTTGTATCTTGAACTTTTTTCTTTTGGTTGTTGTTTAGAGTCATTAGATTAACCTTTGAACTTTAAACTTACAACTAGTGCAAACACTATTTTGTCTCTTTTTAACCTTAACCAAAGAATGCCTGCCTATAAACTTGAGGTATGAAACTTCACAATCAAGCCTCAATCATACAGAACTGAAGCATTTATTCTACATAATTTCCTAACATAACTGGGATACAATTCCTCAGATTAAGATTGATCCATTTTGGCCCACAAACTTTGGCAACCAATTTTTTTCTTTAAGCCTTGTTCGAGACTATATTATTGACTTCTTAAATGTTGAATATCTTCACTTGTCTGATAACTACATTGATTTGGTGAAAGGATAATTTAATACCATTATCAGTGATAGTTTAAATAGTCAAGAATTAATGTAAAATCTAGTTACCGAAACAAAAAAGCAAAGTAAGAAGCTAGCATAAAATTGAAAGCAATTGCAAAAAGATGACTTAAAACAGAACAAGAGATGCTTCCAAGCGAATAATTCAGACGGGGAATAATATTTTTATGGGGACTAATAGGCAGGAGCACGAAATTTCAGACGGTGGTTACAACTCGCAATTCCTGCGGAAAATATGATTACTTATATTGCAAAAATTTCCTGCGGAATAAATTTGCAGCAAAATTTGCAGGAAAGTTTCCTGCAAATTTTCAGTTCCGTAACAATTTCTTGCCATTTTGAAAACTGGCAGGTAAGTTTTCTACGACTTTTCTTGCGGTTTTGAAATTTGCAGCAAACTTTGCTGCAAATTTTAGGTATGTAGAAAAGTACCTACACATTTTCTTGCAATTTTTTTCTTAGGAAAGATTACCTGCGGATTTTTTTGCAGCAAAATCCGCAGGAAATATTTAAAATATAATTTTCCTTGCCA